CATCAACATCAACGTCATCCAAATAATTCGGATGACTACTTTTATGAACGTCGAAATTTTGAATATTTTCTGGAATGGGTAATTCATTTAGTCCGACGAATTAATTCCTAAATTGAATTTTGGGCAGGTGTTTCGCCTCCGACACTAAACAAGTTTTCAACAAACGATCATGGATCCATTTGTGAATAATTGAAATTGAATGTTGAAGACTTTAAGTAGTATTGAGAAGTGAATGAAGATTATATAGTAGTGTAGAAAATAAAATGTAACATCAAGATTATAACTCGATAATGTAAAAATAAAATGTAGAAGAGTATAGATTATAGAATGATGATAATAATTTGTAAACAAATTGTAGAGAGTAGAGTAGAGAATGAGAGATTGATAGTAAGTTTGATGAGAAAAAACATTGTATACATAGATTAATTTTAAGGCATCTCATTGGATTAATTCACTACAATTTGTAGATGAACAAAGTAAGATAGTGTCCTACGGACTTAATGAGCTATATAAATTCTATAACCATTGTTGTATTGAAAGATTAATAGCAGAAAATCCCTAAAAATATTTTCATTTGCGATATAACCCACACCTATTGGAAATAGTAGAAAACCCCCTTATTTGAAGCCTTTTATGCAAAAAATCCCTTACCAATAAATTTTTCGTTAAAAGCAATAAAATGTCAAAATCAAAAAGTAATAGTTGCAATTTTAGTCTCCAAACTTTTTACTCTTTTACAAATTATACCCAATTTTTTTTTATGTATCACCCACAATTTCAAACCTTTAAAACTTTATTTTCCACCCCATCCCACTTTATCTTCTTCCCCAAAACTTTATTATTTTATTTAATTCCTTCCAAAACCCTCCTAAATCCCTCATCCCAAATCCCTCATATCTTCTTCTCATTCCCAAAATTAGAAATATCCACTCCCTACAAAACCCTGTTTTGAGTTGAATTTCTATGGGAATATCATGAGTTATTGGATTCTTCCATGGTGGCATTCCTCAAAAATTTCATTTCCCTCATCATTAGTTTTACATAATTCCCTTCTTTTATAGGCTCTCATTCAATTGAAGTGTCCATTTTTGTTGTCGAAATAGTTTGTAGAACCTTTTTTCCGATCATGTTGAGAAGAAATGTCTCATCCACCGCCGTGAGATAGCAGTGGTGATAGCTCTTAAGGTGGATTATGGTTTTTGCCTTCAATGAATTCAATTGTCCATCGTGCCTCGTGTGAATCACCGTTGTGTGTGTGTGAGGACCTATCTTGGGAATGAGAAGAAGAAATGATGAATTTAGGGTGTGAGATTTAGGAGGGTTTTAGAAAGGATTAAATAAAATAATAAAGTTTTGGGGAAAACCATGAAGTGGGGTGAGGAGTAAAATAAAGTTTTAAAGGTTTGTGATTGTGGGTGGTACATAAAAAATATTAGAGTATAATTTGTAAAAGAATAAAAAGTTTGAATACTAAAATTGCAATTATTACTTTTTAATTTTGACATTTTACTTGTTTAAAGGAAAATTTGACGATAGGGGGTTTTTTCGCACAAAAGGTTTCAAATAGGGGGATTTTCTATGATTTCCAATAGGTAGGGG